CATATATATATTTTTTTTTTTGCTACCTGTTTTATGGCTTTCGGTGTAAGCACAACACAAGCTGCATAAAATGTTGGCAGCCTTTGGGGCACGCCAAATTGTGGCAGCGACAACAACAACGAAGGCAACGTAGAAAAGCTTTAGGCAACCAAAAATAAAGCTAAATTAAATTTGTGGCTTCTGAGTGTGAGTGTTGCTCGAGCTGCTGCTGCTGCTGCACTTAATAATTATAATTAATGCAAGAGTCAACAATTGTGCAACGGTGGCGATACTAAAGGTGCGTTGCAGTGGGCGTGGCTGGGCACGTTGCAAGCTGCCAGCTGCTGTGCATAGCACACAAAACTTTAGCTAAAGTTACTTTGTAAAAGCTTTGTTTCAATATGCCGTCTGATGGTTTCATAATTTTTGTCACTAAATATATAGAAAGCAGTGTGAAGAGTGAAAGAGGAATACCTTGAAGGCAGGTATATATACATGTATATATATATATATATATTTAATTTGTCAAACTTCTTTTTGTATTTCTAATTAATATAATTTAAGCCCTACAGCTGTGTCAACTAGGCAAAAGGTGTGCAAGGCAGCATAAGGAAAAAGTTATACAGTTGCTGCCCTGAAGCAGTGCATTTATGAACTTGACAGCTTGAACTCTTGATAACAATTTAAAGAGGTTTCTCAGTCACATATCTAGGAGCTCTGCTTCTCTTGGCGAGCTGACGTAATTCAAATTGTGGGCTTGGCTATATATGGCCTGCTGTTTATTGATCCATCACAGTCTCAATACCAATACCATCCAAGGCAGTTGAAGTTGATGCTCTTGTGGTTAGACAGACAGAGTAAGAGAGAGAGGAGGTGGGAGAGGGAGAGTGGGTGATCGGGCTTTTAAGTGCCCAACAATTGATGTGCTGCAGTAAATTGGTTACAAAGTCAAATGGGGTTGCGCCGGTGCAGGTGCACAGCAGCGGCTGCTCAAAGCCAATTGACACATGTTGCTGGCACGGAATACTTGACTCTGCCAGGACATTGAGTCGTCTGTTTGCGGTGCAAAGTGTCATTACGCAGTTGCCCCTCCAAGCCTCCATGGCCCCCCTCGGCATGCTACGCTGACTTCAACCTCTCAGGTTTCAATGCGCTCAAGCCCTGTCTGTCTTTGGCACTTATATCATTCTGTCAGTTTGTCCGTTTGCGTTTTAATTAACTTACATCAGCTTAATGAACTTTCTCAACTGACCCCAAAATGTGTGTGTGTGTGTATGTGGCAACCATGGCATTAGCTATGGCAAGGCCTTAAGTTTCTGTCTAATGGAGAGGCATGCTAGGTGGGTCGTACTGTTCGCTTAGAATTATTATTTGAGGGATCTTTCCTTTTATTTTAATCTACACTTTAGCCTACAACTTGACATATTACATTCAATAAAATACATGTATATTTGTATATGCTGCGAATTTACTTTACACTTAAAGAGAATCGTGCATGCCCAATTTATAAAATCTGCAGCCAGCAATGGTGAAAACAATTTGAACAACTGAAATCGAAAGAGAAATTGATGATTAAGTCAAAATCAAATGCAATACAAAAATATTTCAACTTACTTGGCAGATATACGAGGTATACATAAAACACAGGCATTATGCAGCTACTAATGAGGCCAAAAATGAACATATGGCGTTCTTGCTGATCAAAATGAGGATGAGAAAGTTTAGTAAGTTAAAATTGCATTCAAGTATTTGATATTGATTTACATAGATTAGTGATATAAACATCATGATCCCAGAAATTAGATGTACCACAAGCACTATAAGCAATGCCCATTTGAATTCTTCTTGGAAGTCTTAAGGTAAAGCAAGAAAAAACAAAAATTATAATAAACCAGGTCTAATTAAAATAATTAGAAATTTACTTACGGATGGGATATAAAAATAGCGCTAATATCCCTATTACCGCATGTAAAATGGTCCAAAAGACAAGAAATTGAACTTTCACCTGAAGGGGGCAGGAGCAATGATCCAAGCATGCACACGCCTGACAGAGGCACATGTTGAAACAAGTTCGCTATTGGTAAAAGTCAATTTTAAAATAAAAATTTTTTTTTAGTTATTTCATTAAATATAATTTGCGTAGTATCATGAATCAAATGATTCATAAATTGACTATTTCATTTATAGACTATACTATTTACTATGACAACTAATCCCTAAGCTAAAAATTAAATTTGTATTTGATTATTTTTCCTTTTTTTTTCATTTCTTCAATTTGCAGCTATTTTTTTTTCGGATTTTTAGTATTTTATAAAATGTGGAATTGTCATATATTTTTATGTAATTCGATTTAAATATCGTTAAGAATATCAAGAGAAATAATTTTAATATTAGATAAATTTAAGATCTGCATTTTTATTTTTATTTTGTATTAGTATTTTTTTTTTTAAATATTTATCATTTTTCCATATTTCCAATTTACATTTTTTGCAATGCCATATATGCCATTTCCCAGAAGACTGTATAAGCTAATCTCCTGGAGTTAAAAAAAAAAAAAGAAATAAAACAACCAATGGTAGGCTCTGCAACTCATACACATACATATATACGTATATGTATGAGTATAACGTTTTCTTTTCTAGGTCAACTTTTCGCACAGAGTGCAACATAAATTAAAATGTCATTAACTTTCGCGCTTGCCACAGTTTGTTCCCAGCTTGTTACTGAACTGCTGCTGCTTACCGTTTCGCCCAGCCCAAACTGCCAAGCGCAAACTAACAACTTTTTTTTTTTTATGTAGCTAAAGTTTCACACAAATTCATTAAGACTAACAATAAGTATTAACAAAAACCGTTTGTTGGCTACAACACTTCAAATGGAACGCAAAATTATTCAAATTCTGATTTAAATTAAATTGTACAGGCGAGATGACTGACTGCGCAATGCTCTGTCAAGAATCGGAAATCTAACCAGCTTCAGCATGTCGAATTATTAATTTAAAAAGTCAATCAGTAGATAGATAGTTGCATATCGGGCAATAAATTGAAATTCACTCTCTATTCTCTATTCTTCTCTATAAAGTTAACAAATAAAAAATTCATATCGGGCTCACCCTATATCTAAAGCTCAGCTTCATCTTATACCTAGCATGTTCTCTTCATAAGCATACATATTTTTTAATAATTTTTTTTTTTTAGCTAAACAGCAACAGTCTTGACTTTTTTGCTTTACAGTAGGTAGAACTCATTAAAAATGTTGACGACAGAAAACAAATGGAATTACAAACCCACGCAGTGAGAGTCTCGTTTGAGCATAACAAAGTGAGAGTAAGAGAGTGGAGCGTGCCCTGAGTTATAAATGGTTACTGGCTGCTGTGCTTGAAGCTGTCAAAGATTCTATTTGCTCACCTTTGGCGCATGCAGGCCCCAGCAACTGAGCAGGAAATTAAAAATACGGCTGAAAGCATCATTTACTTGACCAACTGCTGGGAGCTGACAGAAGTCAGTGGCTAGTGCAAGGCTGCTGTTGGGATATTGGTGACAGTCGGAAGCCTGGCAAAAAGGAAAATTGATATACAAATGGGTTAACAGTGCAAGGCTATCGAGCTGTAGCCTTGGCAGCTATCCGGCGTATTGCAAACAGCAAATGGAAATACGTAAAAAAGAAGTACACGGATTTATGGGGAAAAAGCACGAGCTGCAAATGGATGAACCCAAGAGCACAAGCTCAAAGGTTGAAATGCTTCATAAACAGCGAACAGCGTGAACTTTCCATTACACATACACATATACATACAGAGAAAGACACACGATACATAAAACACACATTACGCATACGCCATGTGCGACTAATTGCCTTGCTGAGCTCTTCGGTTAACATATCGCATATATATATTGTTCAACTGATTGAGCTGTGTGATTTAAATAAGAACGATGTCATTAGCCCGTGTTCAGCTTGACAGCCTGATTAGTTATTTATATGCTCACATTCGCATTAGCTGTGCGACCAGCCATTAATCGTTAAATGGATTAGACGCCTCCGCCTTCCCAACATTGTTTTCTTGTGCGAGAGCAATCTGCGGGCGTATTTAACGATTGCAGCTGTTGCATGTTAAAGCAGAGATTATATGGTCTGTATATATATAGCATACACTTACCTGACTATAATGGGCTCTGGCTATCAACTTTTCAGTCTCTACTCTGCAAATATTTAGCTCGGCTTTAAAGTTTCTCTGAATTAGAATTCCCCAAATGTCAATAAATGCTTTTGGTTTAGTGTTTTTATTTTGCCGAGGCTAACCAGATCATTAGCCATCCAGCTGTGATTAGCGTACTGCAATTTCGTGTTGTTATTGCGGCTGTTGGTGRTTGTGGTCCACGTGGTTTCGCTGTGGCTGTGGCTGTGGCTGCGCTGTTAGTTGTTTCGTGGCCAACACTCAATTGAAACAGCGCCCGTTGCTGGCTAATCAGCACTGGGATGTCATCAATCAGTCAGCAAATGGGAACACGGAAAACCAATCTTACGGCCGTGCAGCGTGGAGTGTGGACCTCTGCTTGCTAGTCTCGGCAATGTTCCAGTGCTGCACACAAAGCTAAATAGCAGCGACGAGAGTGTCCAATTAAGGGAGTTGTACTTGACCAGATGGCGCTTGGCTCTGCTTTTGACTTCTGCATGCAAAGTGCATTTAAATAGAATAAATTTAAAATAACAAAATATAAATCCGAATGGTGATAAAAGCAAACATGCAATTCGTATAGCTCTATGCCGTCGTTTGGAGCTAGATTTTGGTTGAGCTATGATTATTTTTTCATTTCCTTATTTTTGTTTTTGTTTTTTTTTCTTTTTTTTTTTTAGCATTTTTTTGTTGTTTCTAAAACCCTATTTTAATTTTCACAATCCCCCGTATTCATTTCTGCGAATATTTCGTTTTTGAAA